AAAAACGCCGTGATCAACCCAGTGTGTCTGTTTTGATGAATAAATGTATGGAATCATTGGATGCATAGTGTAAGCCTGGTCAACCAGTCTTCCGCGCTACCATTATAATTGTTCCCGGCTTTCCTTATATTCGCTTTTGGACTACTTACATAAGCACCGAACCTGTAACCCGTACTCCGTACACATGTAGACTGTCCTCGTTCTCGACATATACACAGTGGTCCTGTTAACTTGTGTGACCGCTCAGTGAGCCCTATAGACAACGGGCTTTCACATAGTTCCAGGACGAATGCTCGATGCTCGCGCAGATGTAGATCCCAGCAACGAGCGTACTATGACCTCATTAGTAGCATTAGATGGCTTATGCGGTGTTTACGCTACTATCTTTTAATTATGACAATTTTTGGATGCCGGTGGCTTCAGCTTAAAAGCTTACTGAAATTCCATTACCTGACGATGTCATTGTTCATTTCTCATTGTCTAGTAGTTCCTTCCGGAAAATCGACCTCTAAGTGTCTCAGCTCATTAATGAGCGAAGTGTCAGGATTATTCCATTGTAACCCATCATAGAGGCAACTGTGCATGCTGCTATATTCGCCAGGCGCCAGCACAAAGAGCCCTCCGGAGACAGTTACAATGGATTATTTATTCTAGGAAGATCAAAGCTCAAAAATAGTCCGATTCCTCTAATAGCCCTGGAGCTAGATACTACTTAGAACCTCGCTGAAAAATATCATCCAGAGATTGCGGCATGATTACAGTAATTATTTATCAAGAATATCCTGATCTGTTAGACCTTTTCGTGTGCTTCAGTTCTAGCCCAACTTCAGAGGCTGTGGTAAAAAATATTGACTCCCACCGCCAAACGAAGCAACCTAGTGGGTTTAGTACATGAGTACATGATTTAATCTACGGGAGTTAACCTGTCATATAGTGAACAACTATCCTTATTTCATTCTCATCCTGGGTACGTGCTTGTGTCGGAAAGCCTGAGGAAGGAGGGCCATCCACCAGGAAAGTTGGCACGGGCTGCGTAGCCCTATATAGGCTATATAGTGGCCATATCATGTCTAGCATTTTTAGCGTAACCACCACTAGAAAAGTGACCCTAGCAGGCCTAGCGAAGACCTTGCCAACATATCAACTTTGTCAAGGCTGGCTAGCTGAGTGCTAGCTAGCTTACATAGTCTGCGTAGTACGTATACTGTTTTTATTTCTGAATATTCATATACATGTGTACTTGTAGGTAATAACCATTTGTTAAATAGCAAATCTATTAGAGTATATATTGCACGCGTAGTTCTAGCCCGATTGAGTGCTGGCAAAAGGAATGGTTAATTGAGATCAGCCAAACCTGTACTGCATGGAGAAATGTGGAATAACACACCAAAACAGATTTCAGCACTCCTGGTGAATAGCGAGGTATGAGATAAGAAAAGCACACCATAATGCGTGCATGCAAGCAGTGTAGAAGCTTTGTGTGAATAGAACTGAGTACAGAGAGACCAGAGATTTATAGAGCCTCAGCGTAGAATCGAGTTGTAATGTATGTGCAAGATGCAGGATGGACATGGGGATTAGGAAAGGTCTTGCACCAGTACAGATTGATTTACAAATAATATTCCGCAGAATAGACACAAGAAAGAATAAGACACTAGCAGATGGGGTCTTGTATAAGAGCCATACTCGATGTTGGTGATGAGGAAGTGGTGGTTCGATGCAGAAGGTTGAAGACAGACAGAACCGCACGTGACTTGTTGAAACGTTTGCTTCGTACTCTGCGCGGAATTAGGAAGGAGGAGAGGTCTAGCAATGATTAGCGTTGATTAGCAGCTTGAAGCTATATAGCACTAGATAGTAAATCGACGGGCTAGAAAGGAGGTCCTAGTACCCTTCCAGCTACAACGAAACAAATATGGTGATTGTGTCCTATAACAAATTTAAGGGAATTTTCTATTGGTCTATGTTGTTTTATGCTCATTACTCACTGAGGCTCATTTATCATCGAGAGGACAACGTCTTCGGATCCCACAGGAGTATCATACCTCTTATTAAGTAAACATAATTCTCTGTGAATTTTTGTGTCAATGTGATGGACTTTGCGTTATCATCATCGAAGCATTTTTGCAGGTTTTCAAACATATCTTCTCAGTTCTGTGATTCCTCAGGTTCTCTCGGGCTTAGATGTCCTAAAGAAATACAAGTGAGCTTTCTGGCCTTGTCCTATGCTTCATCCGTTGGATTGACATGAAAGACCCACGTATCGATGCCATTGATAGTCAATTACGTACGCAATCCAACTTGTAACATCTCGTAACGGTGAATCTCTCAGTATGAGCATCACAACTTGAAGTTCATGATTATTTCTTCAGTAATATATCTCCTTTGCCTTTCTTGTGATAAGCCCGATATGCCGTGTACATGATGCGTTTGAATGTCAAAGAACCTTGATGTCCTACCAAACCCTCGCCTTCGACTTTATTCTGCCTTTCCGACCTTTGTCTTAGTCATCGCGTCCTGTCTAAGCTAGGAAGGAAATATCAACGCCATTTTCAAGTGCGAGGCTACTCTCTATCTGTTCTCGAGTCTCAGATTCAGAAAGTCCAGTAGTTGAATTGTATTACACTTACATGGTTTCCAATAAGGGACTAAAACCAGGGCGATGTAGCCAAGTGGTTACGGCGATTGATTCGAAATCAATTCCTCTTTGAGGGCGTAGGTTCAAATCCTGCCATCGTCGGATGTTTATTATCATTTTTTCTTTCGGAAATTCATAGCCGAGACGCTGAGCTCCGGCGATTACCTTTGTCGGTACCAACTTCATGACTCGCCTCTTTCTCTAGTCTTCTCCTAACACGAAACCTGCTTTACTTTCAGTTCTCATTGCCAGCTTCCGTATCTCCTGGGAATGAAAATCAGGTGCATCAAGTACAGCTTTCGAATGTAGATGTAAGTTCTTAGACCCGTTGAACATTCAGTGATGTAAGTATCTCGCTACGTCGAACTGTTGTTGAACGTTGCAGAAGCTATCTACGGTTTATATTGATATGGCACCCTCATTCTTTTTACTATCCAATCCAATCTTGAACCCTTATCCAATCTCTCTGTCCTCCTCATGCGGAGCTTAGGATACCGCGTGCAACGGCTGCAATACATATTCATGTATATGGAAGCTCCACATGCTGCACCTCTGTCTGCATCTGCATGAGGAAACTTCGACTACTACGACATGTCAGTCCCTTGAGTCAGTTTCCTCATTTTCGTCTGGGCAATCCGCTTATCGCAGAACACCTTCTCTATTACCGGTTAATTTTGTCCTTGATCTCTCGTTTATTTCACTTCAATGAAAACGTTTTCGTGAAATCTACAAAATAATCCTTTGCCGTTGAAATGTAGACGAAGCAGACGTCCTCTGCCGCCCCTCCTGCGAATAAGCCACTGCACTCTCTCGCTTACAGGAAAATAACAGGAATACTCGTACTGAGACATCTTCGTCTTCTCGCTCTCTCCCTTGCCTCATTTTTACATTTAAGAGCCTGAAGCATTGTCAACGTCTTAGATATGGTGTAAATGTAACATACCTTCTCATCCTTCTTCATGGTGGTTCAGCCTGAGGCGTCTAACAACCTGAATTATGGCTCAACGGGTATCTCCCTTGTGAGTACTTATATATAACTTTTATGATGCTGTATTTCACGATATTTATTCCTGTAGTTTCAATTCTGTTATTTTTCTGCCAGTGGATTCCTTCCTCGTCCCTTGAATGTCCTCCCCAAAAATACGACCCTCTTCTGAATATATTTCTAAATGGTCGAACATCACTATATGGACGCTTAATCGTTGCAGATATTTCATATTGCCTTCAGAAGATTGCAATCTGCAATTTTTGATAGGCCATGATTAAGATGTCCACAGCTAGGCGAGCGTCCATACACTTGGAGTTGGCAGTAGTCTCTTCCTTTCTTTAGTGGTATTATTCCAGTTACAACCTTTCATACGTACTTCGAACAATTTTTACCTGTCTCTCACTAATCAGACTGTATCCCTGACACATTGCTCGCATTAAAGCTTTCACAGGAAGCATTGAGATGTTTTCGGCAGATAAAAACTTTAGAAATGCACCCCATTTCCACAGTATTTTTTTGTACATTGCAGGAAAACCTTAATAAATCAGGGTTTCTGTCAGTGTTTTTGGAAAAACCCTGGGAAAATGGGGTTGACTTCTAATGTTTTCATCATGTTTTCCTTGGGTAAAAATCCCTCATTGCTTCCAGTGTTTCCACTGTACCAATTGTAAAAAAAAAACAGAAAAAACCCTAGTCTTGCGAAGCAAGTACGTACTAATAGTCGCCAAGCCCTAGATCCATGATTCATGATGAGTGGTGGGATAAACTCCACGACATTACCATATTAAGCTCATAAGTCTGCAGACAGCTTGAATGTTACGGTGTATGGTCTCCCGATTGCACGAGGCATGAATCATATATGCCAGTTTCTGACATGGGAACAGAGGTCTCTTTCTCCGAGGTTTTTCACAAACACATTCTGTATATTCTGGGTTAGATAGAATTAAACCGTCCTTATATACATAACCGTGGTTTGCGATAACTCGATGGTGCTGATTACATTACTGTAAATTTTGCTATCAAATTAATACATCTTCCACTATCCTTGATATATTCCCCACTGTTTAGGAAATATTATGACACTGTGTCATCTGGTTCAGGATCTATCTTCGAACCATGGGGCCGGTGGCTCGAGCTAGTACTGGTAATAATTCACCTTGGCTCCAGCTCCGATTCAGACTTGACTTCATTAGCTGGCCATTGAAGGAAGCTCAGAAAAAATCATCTCTCAGTCTCCTTGAGATAATCCGCATCTCTACATTGTGGCATATCGTCTTCGAATAGGTCGATCGTCCTCGGGTTCTCAGTTAGTATCAGTGCTTCCTCATAATACTCCTCCAGAACCCGACGGCGTGTTTGTTGCTAATCAAGGGAGACGATGTAGCCAAGTGGTTACGGAGATTGACTAGAAATCAATTTCTCTTCGAGGGCGTAGGTTCAAGTCCTGCCATCGTCGGTCATAGTAATATTTATTTGATCATGAGTCTTTTTTTTTTTTTGGTTCTTGAAGATGTGCGATGAGATATATATATTATCCCGTGATCGTCATTTCTCAGACAAACAGACAACTGTTAAGTAAATACCTTTGAAAGCTCTATATCATTTCAGACTAGGTCCTACCTTCCTCTGCGAATTTCTTGCTTTATTATTATACTGCATCTTCCTCCTTCAAGCCTGAGACTTAGGTTTTGAGGTGCCGAATCCATTTGCAAAACGACAACAGAATACTGGTTCATATTCACTGCGTGCAGTCGGTACTTTCCTGTAACTTGCAAATCATGATCTATGCTGTGGTATTCTGCTTTTTGGCGCTTGCATATCCCTTTAGATATTCTTTCCTGCTGTACAGAATCGTGTCGTATAGAGACTCCAGGTCCAATCTGCGAATCAGGGCTCTGCTAGACTCGCTCCTCAGCTTAGCTGTTAGAAAGTATTTCTTATATTCCTTGCCAGCGTCAATGTACTTCCGATGTGATCCATCTACATGATCATCATCTCATCATCTCGATCATTTGTACATAGGGGACTCCGTTGGAATATTTTTTGGACGACCTTTTCCTGGAAACCACTTTAAATAAATAAGCGATAAATCTAAGTAGCTCCAGGAAGCAGAATGAAAACTGATCTCGCTATTTATGCACAGGATTTTCTCCAATTGGATTTGCCTGGGGTCACATAAGCGACGAATGAAACGTTCATAGGTAGCCTTCATGCTATGGCTAAGTAGTAACTGTGACACCAATGGTGCCGCAGTGGTCATTCTAAGAAGTGGAGCTCAATTGAAGAACCTAGAGAGGAAAGCTAATACGTGCTGTAATCGAGCTCAACCGGTGATTTTCCGTCATCTGATGGCAACTCTATAGGTATACCACTTTATCTGAAGGGTTCAATGCGAGCCCTTCTAATAGTATACTGCCTGTTCAACGAAAGCTAACATTAGACTATGAAGGATCTAAATTTGCTATCGGGTTGAAAGGCCTTCTGTACACCTTGATACGATCTCAGATAGGCTGTACTGGTAACCTCTGGCGAATTCAGAGAAGTACCTCTAATAAACATTTCCCTCCTAAGCAGCATGTCATCAGTTTGTCCGGCTTTAATATGCCCTTAGGGGGGATGTTTAAGCGATTGGAAGTCTGATGAGGTTATCATTTCGGTCTTTCCTGATTCCTGATGCTCGTTGATGATCACTAATACCTGGAAGGAAAGGCAAGAACCCTGTGTAACGTAATTTCAAGTGTTCGAAAGTGCCCATTGTATTACTTTGATGCTTCTCTTACATATCATATCTAACACTGAGGAACTGCACATTGTATTTTTTTGACGCTTCTCTTGCATACCTAACACGAAGTGGGTTTCAACAAATAGTGATATCAGACTTGGGTTTGAAGATGGTTACCGTGGAAGACATGCAGTGAGTAGCGTTTTCCTCGAAGCCTAGCGGTATTCTTGAGAAGGTATAATTCTTACTTGAGTGACACGAAGTCCGACCTTCTCTTCCTCGTGAGAAGATGTCCACAACCGTCCCCAGGCTTGCGGTCGCCAAAGTAGTGGGGTTGGACTGTAGAGCTGGTTGGCCACATTGATACTGTCGCCGGACTTGAATACAAGTAATATGGAGTTCAGTTGCTCACAGCCTGAGAGCTGAAGTGTTGCCAGATCAACTTCTCAAGCACTCCCATAAGCACTCTCATCTTCGAAAAAGAAGTCGATAATTCATTATCCAAGGTGCCAAGGTGCCAAAACCTAAATCCGACATACACTTGCTTGACTATATCAGACATTCGCTTCGTGATCTCACAGCCATGCAGTGCCAAATTTTCAACTATGTGTAGCGAAGGAGATTTCTAGAAAAGACCTCAGGCTGGAGTAGGAAATAGGTCCCTTTCGAGTTCCCATCTCCCTATATAATCCAGCAGAATCCTTCTACCGTAGCCCCATCGCCCTCTTTGTCCGAACGCTAGATCAACTATACATACAACATGAATAATTTTCAGAAATTCCAAGCTGAGTATGAAGAATCTAACCCCATCCACATTCACACTACTGAAGAATACCTCAGTCAAGCTCTCGCATACGGGGACATGGCTGCGCTAGGTAGTGACTTGAAGCGATTATTCTTATCCTTGCATATATTTAGAAACTAACTAAATTTATAGCTATAATCCTTTACGATAGCCTCTTGACAATGGGAGATGAGATCACTTTCGTTTGGAGTAAAAGGATCGGACTCGGAGAGGTCCTTTATCTCGCTGCCCGTTACCCTAGTTTGTTGTTGATCTTGATGTATTTTACTGGAGATTTTTCTACATTTGTTAGGGTAAGCAATTCTCTTAGAGGCTATTATACAATAATCTTACCAACGCCAGTATGTCTGTATGGCTGAAGTGGTGCCAATGGGACTGATTCTGACCAATTCTCTTGGAATATTACAGCGTTTGTGATGTCACGCAGCTCGTCGCCTCGGTTTGTTTTGTCCTTTCTTCAATTGGTATTTTTGGTAAGTCTACGATCTATTTACTGGTAATGATGGATTAAACGGGAATCAATCTACAGGAATTGCATGTGGCCGAGCATATGCAGTCAGCGGTGGGAACAAATTAGTTATGGGAGTTTCCTTGGTACTCTATATTCTTCTAATATGCGTATCTTCAGTGAGTAATTCTATGCTCCATTCGTAACTTTTAACCAATATGTTCCAGAGTCAACTCGCGTTATGGAACTGCAATGTAGATTATCCAGAATCGAATGGATTGTGAGTAACGGTTGACCCTTAGAGATCTATCACTCAGGGAATTTATCGTTTGTAACAATAGAGGTGTGTGGCTTATCGTCAAATAATATTGTTCATGTCCTCATCTTTATTTTTCCTTTCCCAAGTGGAAGCCACCACGGCCCTAACTATTGTACTTGAGGTCTTTGTTTTTGCAGTCATTTCATATTACGCCCTAAAGCTGCGAAACTCGTTGAAACCATTCCTAGTCCCTCGTCACTCACTTATTCATCTAGTTACTCAGCAAGGTATGCCTCTGATTCATATATATCAGCTATGTAGTAATTAATACGCTGCTCTCTGTATTAATCTCAGGTGTTATCCGTTTCCTGTACGTTACTAGTATGCCAGTCTCACGGTCAATTAACTGAGGTACTGTCAAATACCCTCCCCAGTATTATATGCCTATGGAGTATCATATGCCTATGGATTATCATAGATACCGTGGATAACTACGTGAGTAAGCTCATGAGTAAAATAAACAAGTCGTCAATTTATCTCATATTTAGTTTGACACCAACTATACCACAGTACGCAGTCACCATCTCTGAGGCTGACTATAGTATGAATATAGCTAATACTTACTCCCAGTTACTAATAATCAGGGTTATCGTGGTTGAATCCGGCATACAATATGCGTTAGTAACCCCCTTATCTTCTGATAATAACGCCCAACCTGATTTTCTACTATAGGATTTTCCCTATTTTAGTTTGCCGCTTCTTTCTTCAACTCAGGAAATATAACTACAAGGCACATTTGAATCCTTCCATGAACCTTCCGACGATGCGTATTCGGAATATACCACAATACGTTAGCCAGGTCGTCATTGATGACCTTGGGGATGGTGATTTATATCATTGTACGGAGGAAGCCGTGTAGCTGGGAAAGGTCATGGATATCTGCCCAGACAAGAATATGAAACTGTGACGGACATTTTTGGACTATTAGAACAAAGTACTGTGCATCTTTCAGAGTATATCTTATTTATTGATCTCGGTAAAAAATATCTATAATAATTATATCATGTCATGAACTTTTGGAAAAAGCTCCAGTAAATCTGAAGCGAATGGCCCGAATTAACCTTATAAAACATGTATTATTATAGGTTCTCATACATGTTATGATTTGGCCACAATATAGTATTCGACGGTGCTAATTATAGACGATCCAGAAACGAACGATTTGGCTCCGCGCACAATCACCGGTTGAACACTCCCACGCACCTCACTCCCATGTTGCTTATTTGGATGTAATTCTAGGCTGAATGCGCTGTTGCGTGTTTCCTATCTCCCTCCCATCTTTGGCTGAATGTGCTGCTGCGTGTTGCCATCCACTATGATACCTCCGAATATGATCAGCTTTATACTAGTATAGTCATCACACCAAACCAGTCGCCTCAACGGAAGCAATTTCCAATTTGTGAAACACCTACCGTCGACGACGATGGCTGACGACGCTGAGGGTGCCGAAAGCATTGGTATGATGTCACGTGTATTCATTATATGCATAAGTTCACCCGGTTAATTGCAGCTCCGGAAAGCAAAAGCCGCAGCATTCGCCTCCTCCGCACCTACGCCTCTTCCCAACCCGTTTCGAGAACATCGAGTCCTGCGCTGGGCGAGACATCCTCTTCTCCATCATCGATACTATCGCTGCCGCCGAATTCTGTGTCGTCTCCGCCTCCATCTCCGCCTCAAGTCGTCTCACTGGAGTCCCCGAAGCATAAGGATATGAGCTCGTTATTTGGCCCACCGAGTGGCGTTGATTTGGATGAGTTTGGTATGTATGTGTGTTCCTTTCTTCATCATTGTAGTGCTGATCTGTATGTGAAGGATAACACCCCCAAGTCCGAGGAAAGTACCCTCCACGCCGCCGAGCACCTAACACAAGAAATTACCTCCCTCACCTCCCACGTCTCCGAACTCCAATCCGCCAGCTAGACCCTCTCCTCATTGTCAGCCCCTGAGTCCGCCCGCTCAAGACTCGAGTCCCAACTCGAACCCTCCCATAGCACTATCACCGCCCTACAAACTCAACTATCTCAACTCTCATCTGACCTCGCATCGTACACACGACAACTTAATGAAGCGAGGAATGCAGAGGCAGCATCACAACGTCGCGCGAATGACCTTGAGAGGGCTAAGAATGAACTTCAGGTGGAGAATTCGGGGCTACTTGGGCA